ATATTATAGATTATAAATAATAATTTATTATAAATACCTTTTGGATCCGCAGGGTTTGCGTTAATGATTTGAATGCAAACCAGTGCCAAGAAAAGTGCCTGTGTTACTTTAATGTACATTGTTGAAAATGGTATTACAGTACTTATGTTTGTAATTATATAATGTGATATACTTTCCAAAACTTGTGAATTTTTCACTAAAAATGCTTTACCTTATATACCCAAAATGGTTGCAACAATTAATTGCATATAATCTCGCTACAATCTTACAAATAGGATTTCTGGTATTTTACTTTTATATTTTAGGTATAAATTTCATAAATAAATCATTAAAATGTTTTTGACCCCAACTTTATTGTATAACATTCTAATAAATGTAATATTCAACTAGGTCGGACTAATACTGATTAACATCTTTCCAGTGAAATACCTAATACTTTATTCCATAAACATTTATTTTATATATTTATTTACTTGAGCATTTTAAACACATTAATATCATACAGTAAATCCGGCTAACCCATTTATCCTGATAATAAGTATGATTTTTCTAAAACACAATTAAACAATAAAGTTAATATAATATTTATTTGTAGTCTTTCTCAGCAAACAACATTGCTGACATTAAACAGATTTAATATTATACATTTTATAACCCTTTAATAACTATTGCCTCGCTATATCATAAACCACAAATTATATTTCTTAATAATTATTAAAACCGAAAATGTTAAGTAAATAAAATAATGACACCATAAATATTAATGCTGTTAAATTGTTTACTTAGTTGTGATAAGGGTTGTAAAACTGCAACTCGCAATAAAATATAATTTCATGTATAAGATTTTATGTATTAAAATAATAAAAGTTTATTATAAAGTATAATGATCAACACAGTTTATATAAAGATTTTAATTTTCAAAATAAACTATTTTGTTTTACAATTTAAAGTATAAAAGTTTAGTATTTTAAAAACTATTAATTTCATATTGAATTCTTACTGGTTTATAATAAATAATTAAACTAATATTAAACACATTATTAATAATTATTCTCAAATTTTTTGCAATCATAATACTTGACACATTTATTGACACCGGCGCTGACTTTAACGTACGGGCGCTTACACTCACACCCTGTATAGCAATCCAGAGTACAGGGTCTCAGTGAGCGCTGATAGTTTTGGCACGTGAGTGGACAGGGAGTCCCGCACTTATTGAACCTTGCACCTCGACCACAAGTAGTCCTTTGCCATAACTCTAGTTATTATTATAACATTTTACATAAACTATACAATAATTTTAAATTAATTAGCTTATTGTTTTAATATTACCTTGGCAAGTGATTGTGGAGATTTCGAGAGTGGTAATTATTAAAACTATTAAGAATTTATTCATTTTAAGTAAAATAACTTTTGTTGTGCTTTTGGTGTTACTTTTTATTTGTTAATATAAAATACTTTTGTATTCAATGTCTGAAAATAAACTAAACGACAAATTGATTATCCGTTCAAATAGTTTCAATAAAATGTTTGCATCGGAAGGATATTAAGTACATTATATTAGAAACTATTATATTATTTATAGGTTACTAGATGATTGAATTTAAGATTTTTAATAATTAACTTTTTATAATTATTTTACAACAATATAAGTATAAGTGAAAGGTATATTTGAGATCAAGGAAAAAGGTAGATTATTGTCTATTGTATGTTATATGTGATGATGGCACCCACCTAAAATAATTACATACAGTTTTCAGTAATACATTCAATCTATATATACTTTGTTACAGTTTTTTAGAATAATACTTTAATTATCTATAAATATTTAAATTAAACTAGATATAAAAATAAAGTTACATATTATTAATTCATTTTACATCGTATACCCACTTAATAAATAATAAGAATAATAAAACACTTAATTATTGATATTCTTGTTTGCAAACACACCTAACCTTGTCTAATTTGACATAACCTGGGTTATATTTGCAACTAATCATACATTACATTGTGCACATTTGTAGTTGGATACGCCAATTTTAACATGTGGGGTCCACGAAATGACCATTTATACATTTAATAGATGCAGGGATCTTGTAATCATTAGGCCATATAGGCCTAGGTGACCATGGAGGTCTATTACCCCATGGAGGTCTTATAAGTCTGTCAACTTTTAAATAATAATTAAAACTGCAGTAAACTAATTGTTATATTTGAGTAATATTTTAGTTTTAAACAGAAAATTTTTAATATTAATATAATAAAAATATTTAATGTTATGGTATTATAAAATATTAAAAATAATGTTTAATAAATAATACAGTACATACAGTAATTATTAAAGATTATAAAACTTTGTACCCCAAATGGTTTTATTTAATAATTAAAAATATAATTAAAATTTTATTTTTACAAAATACCTTCATAAGAATTAATCAAAATTTATTAAATACAGTATTTTCTATTACATTATTTATAACCGGGAACGCACCGATGTTTGTCTAATTTGACATAACCAGGGTCACAACTACAACCAACTATGCATTCCTTAGTACACAGGTAAGATGGGTAACGCTAGTTTTCACAGGTGCACTAGCACACTTCACAAATTGACCATTTATGCACATTGGAGGTGCGGGTCCATCATAATATTCAGCCCAATCATGTTTGGGAAGTCCTACATTTAAATCATAATATAGTTTATATTTAATACTAATTTCATTAATTTATTTATTGAATTTATATTAATTAATTAATTAATTTGTAATTAAAAAATGAGTTTACTTACTTTTGTGCATGGTATTGTGCATGGCTTACATGGTTTATAATAATTAGGGTCAAAATAATAATAATAAAATATTTCATAATTTAAATTATTTTTAAATAGTCAAAAGTATAATTTTATAAATTTATTACTCCAGATGGTTTTATTTAATAAGTAACATTATAAGTAAAGTTAAATGACAACATAATTTGTAAATAATTATTTTACTGATAAAGTAATTTGTATTATATTAATAATTGTAATTATTTTAAATACACTTAATGCTTATAATAATTATTAAACAAGTATATACTGTTAATTACAATTACAATTTCTACTCAAATATAATTATCTGGGACAGTATCTTGGTCGCACACACAGGTAACTTGTCCGGGTCAGTTTTACATAACCAGGTTTGCAAGCACATTGGGGCACACATTGTTGGGTGCATATTTTAGGTGGGTAATTTACGGTTTGACAGGTTAATTCGCACGCACTACCACAATACACATACTTGCCGTTTATGCACTTAAGTTCTTGGTTGCCAATTATCTGAGCTAGTTGCAATTATTTATTAATTAATAGGGTTTTATTTTTTTTATAAAACTTTAATTAATATTGGTAAACTTACATTGGGTAGTGAGAAATAATGCAATAAAAATCAATCCCATGAATTTAGTCATATTGATATTGAATTATAACAAATACTGATTTTGAAAATAAGACAATTATTAATATTGTTTATATATTATACTTCAGAATGTTTCTATTAAAACAAAATATATAATATTACCAGGATATAAATGTAATACACTGGAAATAAAAAATTGTTACAATATTTTATACATATTTACGGAAAGGGATAAGACAAAAAAATGTTTACATAATTTAAACAATTTAACAACTTATAATAAAATAATATATTTTAGTTATAATTAATATTGATATTTTTTTAATTGATCTGGATTATTGAAGAATTAATATTTTCTATTAAAATATTGATTGCATTCACGTCGTGGGACACAACGATTGCTATTATCGTGTAATTTCACGTAACCCTCACGACATTTGCAGCCGGGTATACATACAGCAGCACACGCTAATGGACCACGGTTAATTGTCTGACATGTGGGGGCACAGGCACTCGTGCACGTGTCAAACCTGCCATTTATACANATGACATATATTATATGTGATGGAAAAAATTAATAAATAATTTCACATTATTAGAAAAAAATCTAAATAATGTTAACATTTTAATTGCTTGCACATACAGTATATTATATAAAAGATTTTATAGTTATGAGCTTTTGGATTTTTACTCAAAATATGAAATAATCATTGGATTAGTTGCCTAACTTATATTAGTCAAAGTATTTATAAAAAGTATTGCCAATAGTGGCCAAGACGCAACATACTGACCTAGCTACATTGTGTATTAAATTCAATTATTGTTTATAAAAATAAAATTTTATATTATTTAGATCTATTTTAAATAAATTATTTGTAATTTCAATTTTCTATTTAATCTTTTATTTTATATATTTAAGATAGTACAGTATAAAAATTTAATTAATTACAAATTGAACAAAAAGGTTTTTAATTACAATCCTTTTCCTGGAAATAATAACTACTTTTTTTTGTAGGCAATGGGATAAGAAAATGAAATATAATGTATAAACCGGGAGTTAAAAATTGTCGCTAATCCCTACATTTATAATCTATATAAATAACAAAACTCTCAGATAATATCTGTACAATTTATAAAGTATATTTTTTATTTAATTTTGCATTAACATAAAAAATGCGTTCATTTGTGTTAATCATATTTATCGCTGTAATACTGACTGGAATTACATCCGCTCAGAGTAAGTGTTTATAACAATTTGTTGTGCATGCTAATTTTTAATTTGTATGATTAAAATGTACAGGGTGTATCAATGGTAGACATATCCAGTGTGGCAGTGCCTGTCCCATAACCTGCAATAATCTTCGTAGTCCTCCGCGCTTTTGTACCAAAAATTGTGTGTCGGGCTGTCAGTGCGATCGGGGGTATGTCCTACGGGACAGGTCTAGCTACCACTGTGTCCGACCCCAAAACTGCCCCTAATTTTCTATTTGAGCTGAATTTATAAATTAAATTCCTTAAATTTCTTATTTTAATAAAGTTAAAATTATTTTGAAAAGTGCATTATACATTAATAATTATACTTTTTAAATGCCAATAGTACAATATAATGAACAGTAATTAACATTATTATAAACAGTAATTGGATAGTTTCAATAACTTTATAATGTGTTAATATTATTTCAATACTTTTTATGGAAACAAAAATTTAATACCTTTAGCCTTATATTAAAGCTGAAGATTTTTAATACTCATGTTAATAGTAGCCCGCTGCATTAACTCAGATTTTTATTAGTTTTTACAAACTGTTCAAAAGATCAATTCATATTATTAAACCTAAATTATAAATTTTATAAATCAATGAAAATGTAATAATTATATCCAACAAAGTGTTATTTTTATACCGATAATAATGTGCCGGCTGTCAGTACGATCGGGGGGACAGACATAACCGCCTATGTATCAGACCATGAAAATGTCCTTGATGTCTCATTTAATATTTCTAAACTTATAAATAAAAATCATAATACTATATTTTAAAAAGATTTCTTGATGCGGACTTTATATCATTTTGAAGGGTAAATAAAAAAGTATATTCTACGAGAAAATAAATTATAGTACCTTATATGATAAACATGTTTTAGACAGCATTGTTAAGTATAATTTAGCTTAATTTATTTATATTAAAATATCTTAGTCTGGGTTTAAGTGATGAGGTAATTATATTTGTTTATATAATTATTTATTGTGAATTTTTGAGAAGTATTTGTCAAGTGATGTAAGAAATAGTTTTAATATGTACAATATAAACAATAAAACAATATAATATATTATATTATGCACCTACTATTAATCATGTAATAGTTTACACAGAAATGTTATTAATACTAACTAATACAAGTTTAAAAATAGTACCATGATCAGCCTTCATTTATAGGATTTTAGCAATTTTTGTAGAAATATTATTATTTATATCTAATATATTTCTATTAGAAACAAAAAGTTAAATTACTAGAGTTTGAGAAAGTATAAAAAGTATAAAATATTATTATATCCTTCAAAATTACATTTAAAATAAAACTTGAAATTTAAACTTTAACTATGCGCTCATTCATATTATTTGTGATTTCATTTGCGATATTATGTCCAGGATATTTAACCCAGCACCAATATGTTCTGAGTAAGTTTTACCTGTTTTAAACCTGCTCTATAATAATATTTATAGAGTTATTATAAATATATTTAGTTCATTGTTTATGTAAATTAACCAGGGCGTACCAGGTGTATAAATGGCAGGTTTGACACGTGCACGAGTGCCTGTGCCCCCACATGTCAGACAATTAACCGTGGTCCATTAGCGTGTGCTGCTGTATGTATACCCGGCTGCAAATGTCGTGAGGGTTACGTGAAATTACACGATAATAGCAATCG